GGCTGACCCACTGACAACCTCCTTTCCACCCTATTGAGATGCATATTTTACGACAATGGATATCCCAAGATAGGTTGCCTGCCTGTAGACTAATCTCAATACCCAGCCAGCTTCACTGCCCTTGCCCATTTACCCTAATTATGCAACACTTAACACTATTTACAAAATCTGGCAGTTTTCCTGTCCGGTACTCAGAGGGTCATCAAGAAACATTTAACACCTATAGTTCACCTCAGGTAAACTCATCAAGGTTTTCCAAAATCATTGTTCATTTCTGAAAAACTAATCAATCTATTGTTTTGGGGACAAACATGTCAGACTGCCCCGGGAAGCATTTCCCCCTGTATTTGATTAATACTGTGCCATAGCAGTGTGTGTGTGTGTTATTGGACCCATACATACAACCCCACTTATGTGTGGTCCTTCTCGTCTTTGCTCCATAAAAAACTGGACGTTTTGCTGCTGTCTCTGTGGACCTCACTGTTTGAGATTGGTAACTATCGCCTTCCCTGAAATCACTTCCTCCCACTTCCTCCCTGATTTTCTCTTAACTAGCTTGTGTGCATTTTCCATCCCTGATTTCCTCTTAACTAGCTTGTGTGGATTTTCCGTGGATTTGTATGTGTGTTTTGCCCTTTAATTCCTATTTCAACAATACCCTTTCCAGTTGAATATTTGACTGGTTTACTTTGAGAGTTCTCTAAGGGAAAAATCCATGTAAACATAGGTGGAGAATCCCAGTTACACCCCCCCCATCTCATTTAAGGTTAATTTCCCCCAATTAAATAGGAGGCTGCCTCTTTGGATATCACTGCTTTGCATGCAGTAGGTCCCAGGTTCAATCCCCAGCAGTTTCAGTTAAAATAACCAGATAGTAGGTGATAGGAAACACCTTGACCTGAGACCCTGGCTCATTGGTAGAGCATCTGCTTTGATTGCAGCAGGCCCCAGGTTGAATCCCTGGCATCTCCAGTTAAAGAACTGGGTAGGAGGTGATGGGAAAGACCTTGACCCGAGACCCTGGCTCATTGAGCATCTGCTTTGCATGCAACAGGTCCCAGGTTCAAACCCCAGCACCTCCATTTAAAAGAACCGGGTAGGAAGTGATGGGGAAGACCTTGACCTGAGACCTTGACTCATTGGTAAAGCACCTGCTTTTCATGCAGAAGGTCCCAGGTTCAATCCTCAGCATCTCCAGATAAAAGAACTGGGTAGTAGGTGATGGGAAAGACCTCTTCCTGATACCCTGGAGAGCTACCACTTGACAGATGATTTGTATGTGTGTGCCTTGGT